TTGGGACCATTGAGGGTTTGCCGGTCTCAAACCCGACGCACAACGAACCGCGCTGTCATTTATACGGAAGTTAGGGAGAAAACCTACAATGTCATCGAGGAAATTTACCTTGACTAAAATGTGAAGGTGTTCGCTGGCGAGGCCGAACACCAACTCTGCTTGTCCCCTAGGAGCAAGAGGCTCGGCACCTCCAATACCTACCATCGGACGTGATTCAGAGCTCCAGGGGAGCCCTAGTCTTCCCATCAACCAAGTGGAGGCCACACTGCGTTGTGAACCCGAATCCAGTAGAGCGCGAACCGTTAAGCAGTCGCCGCTTGGGTTGTACACCTTCCCTGAGGCCGTCGGCAATAGAACAGTTTGACAGGTGGACTGCTGACGGCTCAAAGGCTCAGTGGAGGCGGCCGTGATGGGGGCTAGGGCGGCAGCTACCTAGCTGGAGCTGCCTCCATCTGACCGGCCCTCGAACCGGGGGTCCGGAAAGCGGCATTCCGGCGGCATCTCAACAACCCGTGGTTGCCACTCACCAAACGGGCCGACCTGTTCCGACCGAGGCGATGGTTTGCCTCGCCGGGCGGCAGATTTATGGGGGATTTCCGTTAAAGTTATTTTACCTATAATAGATATAATATAACCTTATCTAGCCAATATATTTAATACAAGTGTCGAATCTGGTGTGTTTCCTGATTCAATGAAACATTGTAAAATTATACCTTCATTTAAATCTGGTAGTACATTCTACCCAGCCAATTTTAGACCAATTTCTGTACTACCAACATTCAGTAAAATTTTTGAAAAAATATTTAGATCAGATGTTAAGTTTCTTTAATATTAATAAATTACTACATAAAAATGAATTCGGTTTTACAAGGGGTCGCTCGACAACTGACGCTGGAGTTGAGCTTATTAAACATATTTTTTATGCATGGGAGAATTCACAGGATGCTTTGGGTATATTTTGTGACCTTTCCAAGGCCTTCGACTGTGTTCACCATGAGACATTAATCAGGAAGCTACAGTACTATGGTGTCAAGAAGCACAGCGCTTAAACTTATTATTTCATATTTAAGTAATAGAATGCAGAAGGTTCCGGAAGAACCTTTAACATCGATAAAAGCCAATTGACTTTTATCAATGTTAAAGGTTCTTCCGGGTCACCTGTACTAATGGGTGTCCCTCAGGGCTCGATTCTCGGCCCATTCCTGTTTCTAGTGTATATTAATGACTTACCTTCCCTTGTAGGGGATAATCATGATATAGTATTGTTTGCTGATGATACTTCCTTGATTTTTAAACTTAAACATCAATCATTTAAATATGACGAAGTGAATAGTGCTATATCGAGATTAGTGCATTGGTTTAACATTAATAATCTACAATTAAAGGAGATAAAACTAATTGTGTAATATTTGCAACAACAAACGTTAGAAATCTGAATACCAATGTGTTTTTAAATGGGGAGGAACTGAACCCTGTTGTATCCACTGTTTTTCTTGGCATCACTCTCGACGCAAAGCTTCAATGGGGCCCCCATATGTCCAAACTAGCAAGCAGACTAAGTTCTGCAGCCTATGCTGTAAAAAAGATTAGAGGTCTCACTAGTGTCGTGTCAGCTATATTAGTTTATTTCAGTTATTTCCATAGCATAATGTCTTATGGGATTTTGCTATGGGGAAATGCGGCTGATTCAGATACTATTTTTGATTTACAGAAGAGGGCCATTAGAGCTAGTATTTACAACCTAAAACCGAGAGAGTCTCTTAGAGATAAATTTAAAGAAATAAATATATTAACTTTGGCCTCTCAGTATATTTACGAAAATTTAATGTATGTTCACAAAAACAAAGGTAGTTTTAGTAAAAAAGTGATATAAAATTCTGTAAACACTAGGAACAAACACAAGCTAGTGATACCAGTTTCTCGACTCCAGAGTCAGTAATTCATTCTTGGGGCAATGTATACGCTATTACAACAAGGTCCCGGAAAGTGTACAGGCTCTCTCTATTACGAAATTTAAAAATGTTTTGTTAAGCTGAAAATGTATAAAAAGGGTTACTATAGTATAAATGAATACATGGTTGATAATAACCCCTGGGAATGAAGTGGTCACTTCCAAGCAGTTTCATATTGTAAAATTTATTTAAAAAAAAGTCACGCTGGGTTTCTTGCTGGTTCTTCCCAGGACATAGGGTTTTTTTTTCGAACCAGTTGTAAAGTAAAACATGACTTTCAATAAGAATTACACATATAATGTATATTTAATAAAAAATTATTATATTGTAACTTCAGGCTCAAATGGGCTAGAACCCAGAGCCGTAAAGCCATTTAAAAAAATATGTATATTAACACACTGACTTAGAAGTATATGGACTGGGCATACCTACAGAATTAGCGTGACTACCTCATAGACTGAGTATTACAATCCTCTATCTACGGACTACCTAAACAAATCTGGCGCATAAAATGGCCGCCTTTTATAGGGTTGTAACTCAGCAATATGGGCAGCTGATATCGATATTTTTACTAACATTAGTTTTAAATCTGTAGCCTAATTGCGTAACACACCTAAAATGGCAAACTATACCAATTTGAGAGTTCAACAACTTCCATTGCGTGGTTTTTGTTGACGAGCAAACGAATTTTTCAATCACATGAAGCAATGGATAGTTTTGGATTGCTATCCCTTAAATTTCACTTGAGCTTCTTCACCAGGCTTCACCGCATATGTACACTTACGCGATTCATACTCTGCTACAGACTTTTTGTGTTAGGTACACAGTCAAACAATGAGTTAAGTATGCAGGCAGCTAACTTGCAACTTGTTTTAAACAATGTTCTGAGTGTGTTAAGTGCTTTGGCGCGTTTGAGAAAAATTATGAGAGTGAATTTTTTACAACTGCAGTTGGTAATAGTCTGTCAATTGTTAAGTTTTCGTGAGAACTGATAACTATATTCGAGGTAGTTATTCAAATATATATGAAAATATAAAACGTGTTTTATTTTAGTTATTTTTGTTTTGTTACGAGTACTTATGTACACACGTAAGAAATTACGTTGTAATTTCTTACGTGTGTATATAAGTACACACACAGGATTTGTTTTATATCAATGTGAACAAAGTTAAAAAGTTATAACGCACACAATAAAAATGAATATTGACAGAGTAATGGAAAAATGAATATTTTTGCTTGTATACCTTTGTTTGCTGTACAATAATATAGTACAGTAAGCAAAGGTATGGAGATGGGATAGAGATCCTTGATCCCATATTATAATCCCATATTATAGTATTTTAATATAAAATAATAATGATTAGTTGAGTAAAGATAAATTAACTGTTTTAAAAATCAATATTTATTTATTATTAATTGGTATATAGGAACGTTCTGCACATAATTGATCACAAATGGTAAGTTATACAAGCATATTCGGTCCTGCTGGATATCATATTGAATTGTTTTATTTAGATTTTAAATGAAAAATACTATTATTTTGCGCAGGTACATTAATTTTGTTCATTTAAAAATCGAAAATCTGGCATAATCATGAAATGGTAGGTGAAACATGATATCCAGGATTTATAAACTATTATTATTATTATACATTTATTTCTGAACAAAATTAATTTATTAAAATAATTTCTATACGACACCATAGATAAGAGTGTACAACACTATGGCACTGCTTTTTGACAGTTTGACAGCAGATCTACCATAAAACTTGGCGCTTAACATGGCGACGCAGTCACGCATGGATGAGCTAATGACGTTACACGAAAGTATTACCAAAATAAGCATTTTACAAACTGTAGTTGTCTCTCTTTTCTATTGCAGCTACTGCTTTGTTAAAAAGAGACAAAACTGTTTTTGACAAGTGTGTGTCGATATTATAGATATTTGTATAACTATTATTTCTATAGTGGAATATGCCCTCTCCATAGGTATATATCTCTATGTATTAGAGCTCCCGCAGACATACAATTGTAAGTTGGCCAACTATCGAACGACTAAATTGCGTACTTTCGCCGCAGACTTAATCGATTTAATCCGTGACCGTATTGCTAGCGTGGTGCGAGTGCGTGATAGTGCGGAAAAAACTCTCTAATTGCATTAATAATAAAAAGAAGACGAAAACAAAACAGAACATTTTGGGTGCATCCTATTTGAAAAGAACTTTTTGTACAATGCTGGCCTTTTATTGCATTTCATCTATGAGCTCTTCTACTTTTTCGTTTGCAACAAGTAATAGGGTGGCAGATGTCGCACCCGTCGGCGAAGGCCCAAGTCCGAGCGCGGGGAAATTACGCGCGCACGTCGGTTCGTCTTGCATGTTGCCGTGCGACTAACCAACAAAGTTGAATAGTCCGCGAGCTTGTATAGGGTAACCGTGCTAACGAGCAGTTGGCCGATAGTTGGACAACTTTTTAATTGTGCGTAATCGGAAGGAAATCTTGATTCTGATACGATCGGTGTTCAATTAATTAGTTGGACGATTTAGTTGGACTAGATGTGTGGGCTACCATATGTCACTATACCTATTGGTATGCTCTGCGATTTAGTCGGCCAACTGATAATTGTAAATCTGCGGTCTCTCTGCAGTATTGGCCTAAAGGTCTAGATACCAGGCCATAAACTCAAAAAAAAAAAACAGCTAATAAGCAGTCTGCAAAAAAAAATACACAATAAATTTATTATTTATTGCTCATTTTCTAAGGTCGATTAAGTTTAACATTTTATTTACTTATTTTTGAGAACATTTATCAATGTTTTAGAATGACGATATACATAATGGTGTGACAAAATTTTTCAAGTATAGTGCCTTTTGTTTGTTGTAAAAACATGGTTGATTAGCAGAGAAGATTAATTATTTTTATTGATTATGCTATATGTCGTCCCTGTGTTCTTTACAATGGTTATCTTGATTTAAATATTAATAGGTATATGTTTTGTTATATTTGTCTGCTAAAAAGTTGTTGGATGTGAGACTGATATTTATAAATCATGGAGGGATTATCACAAAATGAAAAAATCATTTGGTCTTGTTGGGAAGAGAAGTCATCTAGAGATGTCGTCAGAGAGGCGGCTGCGAAAGGAACTCATATTAACCTGGCTATTAGGTATTTAATGTATAAAAATTCTTGGAGTGAGTCTTCTTCGAGGGATTGGTTTTTAGCTGAGGTAGGGCACTAGTAGTATGTGCAATACCTAGTTGTTGAATTCACTTCACAATAATAGTTGTTATTGCAAAAACTAAAATTATCTCATTGCTTATCCTACTTTCAGGTTAAAGCATGGACAGTCCAGTTGCTCGTTAGAAAGCAAATATTCAAAGTTCTTCACATCCTAAGCAAAGTAAATATAAACCCTGAAGATCACTTAATGACACTTGCTGCTACTTCTTCTGAAATAGAATACAGAGACTTTATTGTAGAGCAAATAGAGAAAATCTCAAAAGATATTGTATTTCAAAATACGGATAGGTGGTTAAATTTTAAGAGACATTGGAATTTGCTCAGATTTTTGGAAAAATCCTTTGAAGTTGATGGTACTTTCAAACAAAATAAGGTATTTGGTGAAGGCAATGAAAGAGTTTTTGTAAATGAGAGTGAAATAAAATCTCTTACAATAGAGAAAATTGAAAAATACCCTACACAATGGAAAAGTAAAATTGCTACAGCATTATTTTTCAACACATTTGGTGAGTTTTTTTATGATTTTTATGTATATGGTTAGTTGAGTCATCTTAGGCGGCAACCAAACCTCCACTGGAGATTCTTAGCACCCCCTGCCCTGTCATTATCATGGTCGGCATCATAGCACGGAATAGCATGGGGGCTGGGCATCTTTTCGTAACTTTCATTATGGGGGATATTTGCTTTAGTTGCCACGCTTGATGAGTGGGTTGGCAGTTCTAGTAATAGTTACCATCAAATACTAACCATCAGCTAACACAATATGATTATAGGTGTTGTTCTATTTCTTCAACCAGTAAATGTCACTTCAACCAGTAAATGTCCATAGTTGGTCATGGGCTTCCCATTGTAAAATTGGGTGTTTGTGTTAGTGATAACAAAGAGACAGTGATGTGTTCAACATTAAATAGGACAAAAAAAAATCCATTTTGAAAAGGTGAAATGCTGATACGAGGGTGGATTGAAAAGTACTCGGCCTAACCAAGAAAATAAACAAATACTAAATCAGTTATATTTTTATTTTTCTACATAATCACCATCAAGTTCAATACACTTTTGCCACCTCCCCTTCCAAGCATTTAGACCGTTGAAAAAAAATGATTCTTCCTTAGAGTCAAAATATGCGTCTGCAGCTGCTTTGACCTTGTCGTTTGTCGAAAATCTTTGACCTCCCAAGTGCCTTTTTAGGTTAGGGAACAGAAAGAAGTCTGATGGTGCCAGATCAGGTGAATACGGCGGATGCGGTAACAGTTCAAAGCCACAGTTGTGAATTTCAGCCATTGACTGTACTGAAGTGTGAACACGGGCGTTATCTTGATGAAACAGGACTTTTCTTCTGAGCATTCCTCGACGTTTTTCTTTTATTTCCTCTCGTAAACGACGTAGTAAGGTGCAGTAGTAATCAGAGTTTATATTCTGACCCCTTTCAAGATAATCAATCATAATCACACCTTTCTAGTCCCAGAATACTGAAGCCATCACCTTATTGGCCGACAAAATCAACTTAGCCTTTTTAGGGGGTGGTGAACCAGGTCTTCTCCACTGTTTTGATTGTTGTTTTGTTTCCGGTGTACAGTAATGAACCCATGTTTCGTCCATAGTAACAAAACGATTCAAAAAATCATCTGCATCGGCTTCAAATAACTCCAAACAGTCACGTGAAATAGTCAATCGCGTCCTTTTTTGTTCAACTGAAAGCAGTCGCGGAACCCACCTCGCAGACACCTTGTGGAAACTCAACTCGTTGACAATGATGTTTTGAGTTCGTTCATAAGAGATGCCTATAATCTCGGCTATCTCTCTAATTTTTAATCTGCGGTCTCCCATTATTAAATCAAGTACTTTTTTAATATTTTCGTCAGTAGTTGACGTCGAAGGCCTTCCAGAGCGGGGTTCATCATTCACACTCTCTCTACCACGCTTAAATTCTGCTATCCATTTGTTGACGGATGAATATGACAGAGCACAATCGCCTAATGTACTGACCATGTCATCATGGATGGCTTTTGATGATAGCCCCTTCTTATGGAGGTACTTAATGATGGCACGCTGCTCGATTTGCTCCATTCGCGGAAATTATGTCCGATTACTTTGTTAATAAATTTATAAAATCACAACTAATTATCGCACACGTTTCGAACTTCACACAATGAACTAGTCTGAACTGAACTAAATAATGTGGGTAGATTTGATTTTTAGAATTGAATGGATCTGTGTTAGGCCGAGTACTTTTCAATCCACCCTCGTAGTTTTTATAATATAGTTGTCAGTATTAAAGATTCTGTGTTGACTAGTGGACTCATAACATTATGTTATATTGTTTAATGTTATTTTGAATAGTGAAAAACAAATATTAATATATAATTAATTTTTTTAGAATTTTCATTACTGGACTTTTCTTCACCAAGTCTGATGTGGAGTTATCTTTTGGAAAGAAATAAGGCAATGATTCTTGTTCGTTGGATTAATGTGCAGACTTCTGAAGTTGTTCGTGATATGAATGCTCGATACAATTTTTTTAATAATGAAAACTTTGTAAGAAAATTGTTGAATGTAGATACTAAAGGATTCAGTAATGATGTACTTGCCAATTTAGATAAAGTTTTTCGTTCTTGGCCTATAACAAATGAAATGATTGAAAGTGTTGCAAAAAGTAATTGTTTTGCATACACTAAACTGTGTATTTATGACACATTGTGCTCTTATGGCATAGTGAATGAAGATGAATGTAAAAATTTATATTTAATTATAGCCAGATTAGCACGGACACAGAATTTAAAGCAAATTGATGATATATTCACTGAGTCTTGTGCTACTGTAAGTAAACAAGAATTTTATGTTGAGTTGGCAAAGTATTGTGTGAAAAATAAACTCTACAATGTCTTAACTATGTGTGTTGAAGGCCACATATTAGACACAGATTTGTCTGAAGTGGAGCAAGAAGCTAGAGATTGCATTGAATTGTGGTTATTGTTTAAGAGTATTGAACAGACCTCTGATAGGCAAAGTCATGTTGTACCTGTGTACAAAACATGCCAACAAATAGCCAAAGATGATATAGATAATTATATTTCTTCGAATCCCCATTTGGTTCTTGGTATGATATTACTGGAGGATGATGCAAACTTATTTGACATATTTTCAAAGATGGACTATTTACAGTTTAAAGACTTTAAATTGCCAAATAAAGGCTACAAGCACAAGCTGCCACATTTGTATAATGTTTATAAGAAATTTGCAGGTGGAAATCGAATGTACGATGCCAAAGATGTTAATGTTTATCAATTGCTATCGGGTTATCGTGGTTTGGACGTCTCGAAAATATTCGAATTTCAGTTAATTAATCAAAACACAAAGAGTTTGATCAGTGAGAAAACAGATAGGAGGAGTTTAGGTAGCCTCTTATCAAACAATGTGGATGTAGGAGGGGGAATTAAAGCCTTGTCTCAAAGGTCAATAGATATGCCAGATTTTGCAAATGAGAAACTGATAAAGAGGTACGGATATGTTGCAAAGTTGAATCATGTTTACTACTTGAAACAATATCGTCCATGTAATGCTAGTCAGGCATTTGTAGCACAGCAATATCAGACCTATAATCGCTTACAAGATAAAAGTATTAAAAGTGCTTGTTGTGAAGCTCATGCTTTGGCCCTTCAGAACTGGTCTGATCCAGCAATGGCTGCATGTGGTGTTTCATTTGTAGCAATGATTGGATGTAACCCCACAAGGTGTAGGGTTCACATGTCGGCAGCTAAGATGATAAAACATCATTTAATGACATATAAAAATCTTCCCGAAGAAAAAGCAAACAAAATCGTCAATGAATTTATGTCTAAACTTATCCAAAGTAATGATCAAACAGCGAGAGACATTTTGCAGTATTTGGAAGAAATTACTTTTTACAAGTTGAGACAAATACAACAATCTGAAGGGAAATTTGACATGGCTATAGTTCTATATGAATCGCAAACCATGGTAAAGTTTGCAATACTTCACAATCTACCACTACCTGAAATGCAATTAAGAGAATTTATAAGGAAAAATTCCTGGTTTAATTTTTTGTTATTTGGTGATGTCTTCAGATATCCATTAACACAGATGTTGCAACTATCGCAAGAATTTGAAAAACAATCCTATTCAGAACATTTAAAATATATTATGTTACACAAGAGCAATGAAGATGAAAAAGATTTCAAGTCTGTTTCAAGTAATGGTCAGAGAAGATTATCCCGACTAAATTCCTTGGAGGTGGTAAGTCAATTTTTTTTTTTTATAGGATAAGGGTGACAAACGAGCACACAGCCCACCTGATGGTAAGTGGTTGCTGTGGCCCTTAAACATCTACATCTATCTTCAATTACGAATCAAAGTGCAGATGCGATGTCACCCGTGAGGACTAAAATGGAATGCTTCGTTTCCAGTAAAAAGGAAAAAGGGTCTTCGGTTCTCTACACTCACCATACAAAACACAGCAGCGTTAAGCTGCTATTTTACGCTGGTATTCTGTGAGAGTGTGGTCTTTCTCTGGTCGAGCCGACCCATTCATGCTACAACCATAACAAAGCTGCAGCATGGCTCTACCACGTAAGTACGTTTCCAAAAGTAATAAAGTACTTTTTGGAAAATGTATTTTAAACCTCAACATTGTTTGTTACTTATTTTTTAAACATTTGCCATAATCATAATTAAAATGTTGAATAATTTGAGGAATAGTGACACTAAAATTATTATTTTTAAAATATTCTTATTATAATTTTATGATCATACTTGTTTTTATTACAAATAGACAATACGCAATGCAAACAGAAAGTCTTATTAAAAATTTAGAATTTTACATTTTTACAGTTTTGCATTTTATTTATTTTTCAAAATTTAAATTTAATTTACCTACTCAAAAATTATTATTTTTGTATAATGCCAGTACGGTTCTCAGGGTGTGCTACCGCGTAATATACATACAAAAATACAGTCGTATTAAGTCTTTTTTTGAGATCCGTTTAAAATAGAGCCGAAGGATTACTTTTACATTAATTAATTTTTTTATCCTTATCCAACCCTACGACGAATTACAATACTAGTAAAATCTAGGTGGTCAGTCTCCTTTCCTATATTCATACATTTAATTAGGTCTAACGTAAGCATATACAATCGAGATTCGTAAAGATATCAGGTGTCAGATATGGTCTCCATCAATGCCCCTCTTGGCTCTTCGGACCATTGTCTGATCTGGAATACGGTGCCACTTACGCTCCCATCTCACTTGCGATCTGCAACTTGTCTTCGTGTTTGGTACTATAGGTCGGCCGATTGGGACGGGATGCGGTCTTTTTTTTGCATCCTACCCTTAGCGGCGGGTTTGGTTTTCGCTGGATGATCCCAACATTGTTACCTATTCTGTCACTGATGGGGTACTTCAGGGAATGGAATTATTTGTTCCAACATCTGTGGTGCCTATCGGAGGCAAAATTCAGCCATGGTTTGGTCACTCCTGTAACTTGCATCATGCTACAAACAGGAGTGGAGGCATCAACATCCTGGGATGTAAACACCAGTGCTCTTAAAAAGAAGTATGATTCCGCCTCCAGGTCCTTCAAAAGTGTCATTGCCATGGCAAAGTCAGAGCACATCGGCAGAATTGGCGAGAAATTAGTTCATTTTGGTCTCTCACCAAGGCTGTCCGAGGGAACTTCTGTCAGCCATCTTTGCACAGGATGGTCAACTCACTGGCCCATGCTGCAAAGGAGAAAGCCGATCTGCTAGGCTCTCTCTATGCGTCCAACTCGACTCTCGGTGACAGAAGAAAAGAGCCTACTCATTTTTAAAAACTGGTAACGCAATTCCCATGGTATTGCAGTTGTTCATGGGCGGCAGTAGTCACTTACCATCAGATGAGCCGCATGCTCGTTTGCCCCGTCTCCTATAAAAAAATTTACGTAACATGTTTGCAGAGTCCAACTCAAAGCGTGACATTTGATTTCCCATCAAGTGTGTACATGGGTCGCGAGTTGTGGGAGGTGGCTGCGTCCTGCCATGGGCCTGAGGATCCGCCGGCAGCGCTGTTACGGGCGGCCGATGTCTGCCGTGAACCACTACTTGTCCTTATCGCTAGCTGTTATGAGGTGAGATATTTATCTTATTTATTTAACATTATTATCATACAATTGAACGTTATTATAATTAATATTTCACTGTGTAGGTTTAAGAATATTCACTACCCTATAAAATCCATGTCATAAGAGGCGACAAAGGGAAACTGAAACATTAGAGGGGCGGCAGCATCTTCCTGATAATAGCCGAATAAAAAAAATTGCACTTGCCAACCAGCTGATCTGATGATTTGACGCCATTATTATCAACAGGTCTTGTGGGCGACATTTTGGGTAAATACAAGCACAACACACAACACATAAATAAACTTGTTTATACTCTTACTAATTTAAATTTAAACTTTACAGAGTGTAACACTAAGTAAATTTTATGAAAGAATATTAAAATTAATTAAAGAGCAGCGAGTTAATGCGACAGAGACATACACCAAAAAGAAAACAAAATTGTACCCCACGCCGAATCTATCCGCTCCTCTTATGTCTTTTATTTCATCTAGTCGCACCACGACTCCGCTCGAAGCACTTCACCAGCGAACCTCCGCTCTGATTGGTTGTTGTGATCCCCATAATAATCAAGCCATGATTTTCTGGCTTCTGATTGCTTAATTAAAAAAAAAATACAACAACAATAAATAATCCTAAATTCATAAATATTCTGGCTAAATTAATATTAATGAAATTAACATAAAACATTGGAATTGATATTATTTAAACTATTTAATTCATTATTAAAATTTGATAGTTTTATTCATTCCCGTTATATATAATATTACGCAAAGTCGAAGGTACGACATCTGAGAGCTAAGACAACTAGAAACATTTCTCATTTATTATTTATCATGATTTACGTTTATGAGCTCTTGTGACTTGTCGTAATCGCCGTCCTTGACAGATGCAGATTGTTGACCGCAGTACATCAAGTATTGTGGTCGCCAATCCACTTCTACCATTGTCTTCATTTTGTACCTTAGATGCATTGCATACGGGTCTGAAAACTAAGCCTGCCATAAATTTGTTGGCATTTCGGTTTGGAATCTTTTGAGCTATCGATATTCGACTCGTCGTGTTGTTATACGAGAGTAACATGAAAGTTCTTAGAAAATCAAAAACAGAACAAATTAGCACATTATTAATTTTATTATATCTTTTGAAAATAGTGTCCATTTACATTAATACATCGCTGCATCCGATGGAACCACTGAGAAAAGCACTTTGCCCACTCATCCTGCTGCAACTGCTTCCTCGGCGTCCATAAAACGTTTTCCTCGAAGTTATTCTTATATTTTCGGAAATAAATAAAAATCGCAAGGTGAGAGGTCGGGGGCTATAAGGCGGGTGACCCAGTAATTCCACGTCTGACGTCGCCAAGTAGTCAATTGTTTGCTTGGCATTTCGCGACGAGGCGTTGCCGTGGTGGAAGAGGATTCTACTGCGAGGTCGTTTTTCCCGAAAAGACAAGTGGCAAACAATTGTTAGTGTACCACTCTGCAGTAACTGTTTTTTCGATTCTCTAAAACAGTTGTTGCGTAATGACCTGTCTTTCTGAAGAACGAGGCCACCATCTTTTTTCCCACGCTTCGACCTCTCTTTTACTTTAGTTGGCAACTCCTCGGAAGGAAACACCCAGACAGCAGACTGTCTCTTAGTTTCAGGATCATAACAATAAATCCAGCATTTGTCACCCGTAAGTATGTCGAACACAGCATTTGAGTCACCTCCGTTAAATCTTTGAACCATTTCACGACACCAATCAACACGACGGAATTTTTGAGCCTCTGTCAAATTATGAGGTATCCACCGGGCACAAAGCTTCCTGACCGCTAAATGTTTATGGCGGATTTTGTGCACTTGACTCATACCGATGCCTAAGCTTGTCCGAATCTACTGATAAGTCACTCTTTTGTCAGTCTCTATCATACGCCGCACAACATTGATGTTATCTTCAGTCGTCGACGTAGAAGCCCGTCCCTCACGCAGATCACCTGTGAAATTAGTGCGACCAAGTTTAAACTCATTAAACCAGTTGTAAAAATTGGCACAAGATGGGGCTTCATCGTGAAAGGCCAATCGAAGTCTATCATAACTTTCTTGTTGACTTAAATAGCGGCTCCGTGGCGTAGTGACTTAGCAATGAGTTGCTACGCTGGGGGCCGCGGGTTCGAATCTCGCACGGGACAAGTATTTGTATTACCTACAAATAATTGTTCCGGGTTTGGATGTTTGTCCTTGTGCAATTTGTGTTTGTAAACTGCCTCCACGATACAGGAGAAAATATTAGTGTGGGGGTAACGTTTTAAAAAAAATTATATCGAGAGTCATAAAAAATCATTGTACGAAAATTTTCTCGCGTTAAATTAATGCTGACGTGACACAGACAATTTTCAATTTGCCGCCAAATCGTAAACAAATGACAAATTAATAAAATACATAAACAATCATATTGGCAGAGTTCCATTTTCAAAATTTGAACTTATTTTTTTATTATATCGTTTACAAGTGGCCAGTTCTAAAAATTTTCAGTGTCGCCGTCTGATGCATAATCCAGGACTGAATTAATAATTGTTTTTTTATATTAAAAGCCGAACGCAGTGGATGTGCTCTGGGCGCAGTGGGTCCTTGCGTCGATAGATCCGGGAGAACGAAGTCGAGAAGCGTTGCAATTGGAAATATCTCATCAACCACTCCCAGAGCAATTCCAGACAATCGCCAAAGTGTGCTTGGTCGAAGGTTACATCGCCACACTTCACGAGTCCATGCTTGTGTTCATGCCGGTAAGATAATGTTGTAATCTTAATGTTGTGATCATATAGCTTTGTTGGACGAATAACTTTTCTATAATTAGTTATAGATTGTAGTATATTACATATTAATATTAATTTATATATTATATTAATATATTTTATCCAGTCTATAAAGTTATAGTCAAGCTTGGACCAAAAAACTGAAAATTGTTTTATATATAGTAATGTCTATTAAATTGGCATTCTTATAGAATAGAATAGAATCATTTTTATCTATAATATAAAAATGAATCACTGAATGTATTGCTAAGCGCAAATCTCGAGAGCAGCTGAACCGATTTCGCTAATTCTTTTTTTATAATATTCCTTAAAGTACGAAGATGATTGTTATGGAGAGAAAAATTTAAAAAATTGCCTGAAAAGATCTAAAAACAACACTTTTCTTTATATATTCGTACTAATACTTAAAAGTCAATTTCAACAGTGGTAGAGCCAAGCGGTAGCTTTTGCTGTCGCACGGATGGGCCAGCTCGAATCGAACGACCTCACAATACCAGCGTGAAGTAGAGGTTTACCTCTGCGTTGCGCTTGGTGAGTGCAGGTGGCCGGAGGTTCAATCCCCCCCCCCCATCAACATGGTAGTGGAATTAAATAAAAGACTACCCCAGGAGGGTACCAGCAGCCCTGGAGAATCCCTCGCTGAGCATCCACGATCAAACTACTTCACTCCTGAGCGTGGGTGCTCAGGCTGCCCCGCGTATTCTGGGGGGAGGGGGAGGCAAAATTCCGCTCGCGACTAATGCTGCTCGGGGCAAGCGGAGCAATACAACCAAGGCGACCCCTGTCACGCTATCCGTGAATTTTTGCAACATCAGGGGACTTCATTCCAACCTTAACGCTGTAACAAATTGGAACACTCCTTTGTGCCCCGGGCTGGAGTTTGCGTGTACGTCAGAGAGGACACCTGTCCATCCTATGGCTGCGCGTAGACAGCGACGACCATCCCCGCGTCTACGGGTGCCTCTATAGGTCCCATAGCGGTAATGCCGACACAGACCGACTCATCGACCACGTCCAAATGGCTGCAGACTCCGTGCTACAACAGGTCCCATCCGCAGAGATTGTGATACTCGGTGATTTCAACGCCCACCACGCTGAATGGCTTGGTTCTCGTTTAACCGATCATGCGGGTAGATCTGTCTATGACTTTGCTTTGGTTACTTCGCCTACGCGGATCCCAGATGTGGAAGACCATGTACCTTCCCTGTTGGACCTTCTGCTGACCTCTCATCCGGACGGATATCAGGTCTCCGTCGATGCCCCTCTGGGCTCTTCGGACCATTGTTTGATCCGGAGTACGGTGCCACTCACGCTCCAATCGCAGTTGCGATCTGCAGCTTGCCGCCGTGCTTGGCACTATAGGTCAGCTGATTGGGACGGGATGCGGTCTTTTTTTGCATCCTACCCTTGGGGGCGGGTTTGCTTCTCGCCGGAAGATCCCAGCGTTGCTGCCGATTCTGTTGCTGATGTGGTAATTCAGAGAATGGAACTTTTTATTCCATCCTCTGTGGTACCCATCGGAGGCAGATCCCAGCCATGGTTTGGTCGCTCCTGTAAAATAGCATCACGCTATAAGCAGGAGTGCTACCGGGCCTGGGCTGACGCATCAACGTCTCGGGATGTAAACACCAGCGCACTTAAAAAGAAGTATAATTCCGCCTCCAGGTCCTTCAAAAGCGTCATTGCCAAGGCAAGGTCTGAGCACATTGGCAGAATTGGCGAGAAGCTAGCTCGCCTTCCTTCGGGAACCCGTGCATTCTGGTCTCTCGCCAAGGCTGTCCAAGGGAACTTCTGTCAGCCATCTCTTCCATCTCTGCACAGAGAGGACGACTCACTGGCCCATGCCTCAAAGGAGAAAGCCGATCTGTTGAGCTCTCTTTTTACGTCCAACTCGACTCTAGATGACGGGGGGAACACACTGCCGACCATCCCGCGATGTGAGTGCTCCATGCCGGATGTGCGATTTACACAGCGCTCGGTTCGCAAAGCACTCTTCTCCCTGGACGTCAGCAAGTCGAGTGGGCCCGATGGAGTCCTTCCCATTATGCTGAAGACGTGTGCTCCGGAGTTGGCACCGGTTTTAACGCGTCTTTTCCGGTACTCCTACTCCCAAGGCTTAGTCCCGAATTCATGGAAGACAGCTTTGGTCCACCCGATCCCTAAAAAAGGTGACCGCTCAGACCCGTCCAACTACAGGCCTATCGCCATCACCTCCTTGTTCTCCAAAATAATGGAATCCATTATAAACTGCCAGCTCATGAGGTACCTTGAGGATCACCAGCTGATTAGTGACCGCCAGTACGGTTTTTGTCGGGGTCGATCAGCTGATCTTCTAGTCCACTTAACTCATAGATGGGCGGAGGCAGTAGAGTCCAAGGGGGAGGCATTGGCCTTTAGTTTGGACATAGCGGAGGCCTTCGATCGGGTCTGGCACAAAGCGCTTCTTTCGAAGCTTCCTTCCTATGGGCTTCCCGAGAAATTGTGCAAATGGATCACCAGTTTCCTTGCTGATCGGAGCATGACGGTACATGCTCTGATTTCAAGCCTATCACGCTGGTGTTCCACAAGGCTGCGTGCTATCACCAACGCTATTTCACCTGCATATCAATGATATGATGTTGCTAACTGGTAGCATTCATTGCTATGCAGACGACAGCACTGGTGATGCCTTATATACCGGCCGTGCCAATATTTCTCGGGAAAACGTCGCCGAGTACCGGGACAAACTTGTGTCTGAAGTCGAGTCTTTGCTTAACAAAGTCTCGGATTGAGGCCGACTAAATCTAGTCCAGTTCAATCCCCAGAAGACACAAGTTTGCGCGTTTACCGCTAAAAAGAACCCCTTTGTCGTATCTCCTCAGTTTCAAAGCACCCCTTGCTGCCTCAGCCAGTATCGGAATCCTTGGCGTCAACATTTTGTTTTTATACGATAAGGGTGACAAACGAGCACACAGTCCACCTGATGGTAAGTGGTTGTTGCGGCCCATAGACATCTACATCTATCCTCTATTACAAATCAAAATGTAGATACGTTGTCACCCGTGAGATCTAAGATGGAATGCCTCATTTCCAGTAAAAAGGGCTTCCGGCCACCTGCACTCACCAAACCAAACGCAGAGGTAAACCTCTACTTCACGCTGGTTTTCTGTGAGGTCGTGGTACCACCCCGGTTCGAGCCGGCCCATCCGTGCGACAGCAAAAGCTGCCGCGTGGCTCTACCACTGTAAACATATCATGTGTACATATCGAATAGTGTGCAGTTTCGTGGTCACTTGGAAGGGAAGGCCAAATTGGCCTCTAAAAAGCTTGGCGTGCTCAGCAGAGCGAGACAGTATTTCATGCCGGCACATCGCTTGCAACTTTACAAAGCGCAAGTTCGGCCCCACATGGTATACTGTTCACATCTCTGGGCCGGGGCAGCTTGACCGCATCCAGCGCAGAGCGGTTGGAATCGTCGACGACCGAGTTCTTTCTGATCGGCTCGATACACTGGCACTGCGTAGATATGTTGCATCTCTTTGCGTATTTTATCGCATCTATCACGGGGAGTGCTCTGAGGAATTGTTGGGACTAATTCCAGCCGCTCAACTTCACCATCGCACATCGCCACAAAACTCCTGTTACCATCCATACCATCTGGATGATTGGCGGTCCACCACTGTGCGATTTAGAAGAAGTTTTCTCCCTCGCATAACTTCCTTGTGGAATCAATTACCACCAGCGAATTTTCCGGACCGATACGACTTAGGAACCTTCGAGAAAAGAGCTTACACCTTTCTAAAAGGCCGGCAACGCATCTGCAATTCCCCTGGTGTTGCGGTTGATCATAGGCGGCGGTAGTCACTTACCATCAGGTGAGCCGTGTGCTCGTTTGCCCCCTATTTTATAAAAAAAAATTCCTGGGTAGAACCAGCAAGTAACCCAGCGAGATCTTTTTTTAAAAAAAAGTGGCATGGCGTGTTTGAGGCTCGACGAAAATCTTTTCTCATTTTCTTTACCATAAACACGAACTTATCATCATTTAATATTTTTAGGAAAATCCACTTACGCTGCTCACTTCTTTTTTGTTCCGATGTATTCGGCTGCGTACATTTGACGGTGAAACCGGCAGGACCCTGAGTAACTTTCTCCAGAAATGCCAACGTAAATACAGTTCGGACTCGGCCGGCATGCCTTGGCACATGTCCAAAGAAACCTTACAAAAGATTGCTGTTAACTTGGTCAAAATCACGCTAAGCCACAGTTTTGATAGCGCTTTCCATCAAAGGGAATTTCTTAGGTGCTTAGCTAACAACCAGTTCGAAAAAGGCTTAATAGGTAAGTAAGAAATTGTTTTTTTTTATAAATGTGTTTAGATTATAGTTTTGATTTTTAACAAAGTTTTTTTTTTATTACAATAAGTGTCTTTCCCCCGCATATGATTAGTTATTACTTATTATTCTTACTTTATTAAAAAATATAACCTGTTATATGTTTAAACGAAGTGGGAGCTTTTCTGCATGGCTCCGTATCGTTCAAACGTAGACTTCTTCTTGACCATAGGTGCTATGTAAAGTTAAATAAAACTATTCTTTGTATAAGAAACAAGAGCTGCTTTGTGGAGTGTAGCTTGTAGGGCAGCGTGGCGTTATAAGGAGATGACTGTTGTATAAGTATATAAGTGATGAGCGAGTAATATCAGAGGTCGGTCATAGTGTGTCTTTTATTTTGTACGTTCGGTTGCACAACTCATGTGGGCGTCTGTGAGACACATGCTCTATTCGACCAATGAGCGGATAGGAGGGGAGGAGTGCAGGTTGTGTGTGATTTATCATTTATTTTACAATCATACATTTGTCACGCAATTTATCGACATACAACAATTCTTTATAGGCATACAGATAATAATTAATAAGTATATAAAAAACACTATAAAGACATACAACAATTCTTCAAATAAAAGGCAATAAAAGATTAATAAGCTTACGTACTAGACAATTGTAAACTTCGTGACTAAAACTTAAATAACTACATAGATTGTATTAAAAGGCATTTACATTAATAATGTCTTAAATCTTTTTTTTTTATAGGATAAGGTGACAAACGAGCACACAGTCCACCTGATGGTAAGTGGTTGCTGTGGCCTATAGACATCTACATCTATCTTCGATTACGAATCAAAATGCAGATGCGTTGTCACCCGTGAGGACTAAGATGGAATGGCTGGTTTCCAGTAAAAAGGGTCTCCGGTTCTCCACACCCACCATACGAAACACAGTAGCGTTAAGCTGTTATTTTACGCTGGTATTCTGTGAGAGCGTGGTCCTTCCCCGGTCGAGCCGACCCATTCGTGCTACAACCATAATATAGCTGGAGCATGGCTCTACCACGTATAAATTTAGGCTCTCAAGCACTAAAAACGTTTTAGTCCGTCGTTGTAATTGCGATGAGGCGAGAGGCCGGGGCATCAAACAAGGTTTGTAGAACGGTTGCTTCTTGGACGGTCGCCACCCGGCCTCTATGGTCGCGATGTCTTCGGCGAATGAGTTATATTGACTCCTTCTTATGAGCAATACCTCTGCTAATTTTATATGGCTCGGTGCGAGTTCAATATTTGTGTTTATTTTGAGTAGCTTGGCTTTAAATATCTCAGCGGCGAGCAAAACGGTGGGAGCGACGCGAACTAATCGACTGTATTTCGAAAATCGTTCTACCTCAGGTGAGTAATCGCTAACGTTACGCTTAATGATTACGTGAACTTGTTTCAAAATTCTTTCTTCTGAAGGGGTTAACGGCGTTTCATTTCGTTTGTCCTGCGGCCACGTCGCAGGGTTGTTCCTTATAAACGCAGGTCCGGTAAACCATCTATGTCTTGAATTAAAGTCGACAGGTACGCCCTTGGTTGCGTACCCAGCGCCAATTGGTTGGAGTGGTTAAGATTTCGATTTCGGCCAATCGGTGTGCGACAAACGAACGTGCGCGTGTGATTTAATCCAAGCTAATACAGTTCTGTCCAGAGTCTGACTAATAATGACATTTTAATATTTTATAATCCGACTCGCGTTTGACCGATTCGGCTAATCGACTGCCTAACGGTACGTGTACACAAAAACCGATTATGTCGGCCGATGGCGGACGGAACTACCCGGACGAGTAACTCGGACGTGTATGTGCTTACACCGCAACAGTGTGCCACTTGTGCCGACATTGGACGTTGCCTGCATACTGTAGTTGACTGTGTTGCTTAAAAGAGTGAAAGCGCATTTTTTCTAATGTCTGGAACCTCTATATCCGTTTCCGATCCAACTTCAGCCCATAACCGTTTCGAAACATCTCGATTATTGTAATTTTTTGAATGTGTATCCCACAGGGTTGGTCTATTAAAAACACAACTAATTAGTTTTTCAATATCCGTAGTCGTTTAGGTAAATAACAACACTGACAGCAAGAAACAACAGAATAAAGACACTCAATTTGCACTGTAGACTCCGGCAGAAATCCCAACAAGTTCGGAATCGACGGATGATGGGCCGTTTTCGGGCGTCATCGGACGATGACGGTCGTGTTTGTGTACGCGTTCTCATTCTTTTACAAGTGTTTGATTCGATCGTCCGAGTTCGGCCGTCGTCGCCCGAGCAAACTTCGGCCGATGACGGAATAGGTGTACGCGAACCCTTACACTGCGGCTTGAAGTTCTAACCGGGGAATCGATATTGGTTTTAACGTAGCTACTTTGGCCTTGCCCGCTAACAATCGCGACATTTTAGTGCTGTCTGTTTTTGCACTTACAATATATATAGCAGCGGAATACACCTTTTCACTCGCGTCACAGAAAATGTGTAACTCCCCTTCTCCAGAGGGCGTGTTAGGTATGTACCTATCTATTTCTAACTTTTTTTAACAGCTGTAAGTTGTTTATAAATTATAACCATGTCACGTGATGCTCGGTTGTGATGGGGTCGTCCCAATCTATCCCACTACGCCATATTTCCTGTATAAGACATTTGCCTATCATCGTGATAGGCGAAACTAAACCTAGCGGGTCGAATACCGACATTACCGCGCTAGTTACCTGACGCTTGGTAGGTAATGTGTCACCTCTAATTACACTCGTGGGTGTGTTTCTGAGACATTGAAGCCTAACGTGTCACGTGTGTGATTCCATATAAGGCCTAATGTTCTCTCTGTATCACTTTTACCTAGCGTGGTTGTGTCGCTGCTACGCGTATCAGTGACGTCACTTATTACTTCGGGTACGTTTGACGCCCACCCGCGTAACTCGAAGAATGCAATTCGACCTTCTATGAATCTAACTATTACGCCGAATAACGACTGTAGCAAGTCAGGGCCTGTTAATAACGTGTCGTTTAGGCTGAGGCTGAGGTAGATACCACCTGCGTGGCGACGTGGCTGAGATGTCTATTTTTTCAGCATAGCCTGCTTCTATAATGTTGCTTACCTGCTTACTATATTCAGTTTTAAGGTTTTTATTTTTATCTAATTTATTTTCTAAGCTATATAGACGACTGAGGGCTTGTTTTTTATTATTTGGCATCTCCTTAGTGTCCGTCCGCCAGAGTAAGTCCGCTTTGTACCTATTGCTATTGTCTATTTTTTTAAAAGTTCTATCTAGACGGACTTCGGTCGGCGTGGCTCTATTCCTAGAGATTCTATGCAAAAAAAATTCTAATAAGCTCTAATGCGAGGTCGTCGGCTTGTGTGGGCCGTACGTGATTAATTATCGCGACAGTATTACGAGGCCACTCGTTTCATCCGTGTAACACCCACCCTAACTTAGTTAAAGATGCTACGGGCTGATTTTTATTACCGACGCGCAATTGCCTGGACGTTATTAAGTGCCAGTTGTCTTGCCCTATCAATATGGTCGGTTTGCCCTGTTCATAACATAATTCCTCTTCTATTTCCGTTAGGTGGCTGCACTGTTGCACTAAATCTCTGCTTACCTTTTGTAGGGATAGGTTTAAATTCTCTATTGTGCTTGCGTTTATAGTTTCTAAGTTTCTGTTATATAAACCGCGAATAGATAGTTTTACATGACATGATTCTGTGTCGTTTATTTGATTTCCCCGTACCCCTTCTAACGTCAAGAGTCGGCCGCGCCTCCTAGGAATAATCGAATCTGCCACGCCCCTTTCAATCAGCGTCATAGTTGAGCCTTCGTCTAACAAGGCGTATGTGGTAATTGTTCCTATTGTACCGCTTATTTCGACCGGCACTATTTTTAGGTAGGTGTTAAATGCATGTTCGTGATTTATTGAGCTTACGTTGCCGTGGTTGATTGGCGGTTTGTTATCGCTACCGTGTAACATTTTATGGTGTGACGCTTCACACTATTTGCACTTGACCGGTCGCCTACTTTACCTTCGCTTACTTTCCTAGACATCGAAAACACAGCCTGTTGCTCTTGGCCGCGTCCCATCTTTCGCTCACGGTTAATTTAGCAAATGCCGCACATTCTATAACGTTGTGATTACCACCGAAACACAATTTGAAAATTTTAAATACAATACTTATTAATAAATTTTCATAATTATCACCCCCAGAAACCTTAAAATTGACATCCATATTGTATTATTAAAAAAAATCCACCATATTGGATATGAAAATTGATGCCGTTTTCGTAATTAGCACCCCAAGAAATCTTGAAATTGACATCCATAACATTAAAAAAATATGTCCACCATCTTGGATTTAAAAATTAATTCCATTTTCGTAATCAGCACCACAAGAAACATCGAAATTGATACCCATATCATATTATTAAAAAAATGTCCGCCATCTTGGATATAAAAATGGATGCTATTCACGTAATCATCACCCAAATAAGCATTGAAATTGACATCCATATCATACATGTATTAAAAAATGATCGCCATCTTGGATTTAAAAATAAATGCTATTTTCGTAATTAGCACGCCGACAAATCTAAAAATTGATCCCTAAATCTTTATATTTTATAAAAAATTTCGAAAGACCGAAGACGAAGGACTATAGTAGGTCTAAAACCTTAGCTTTTCCAACCACACGATTTAGATGAAGAAAAACAAAATCAAACTTCGAAACTGTAATGCCCAGCGACTAGTACCTATTTTTTACATCCGCCATTTTTTTTACGTTGGCAATTTGGCATGACATGACAAAATATACATAATGTAAAAAATAATAACAATATTTATTTACGTTTCTTCCGTGTGCGGGATTTGGTGAAATCGCAGATCTTTATTTATGCGAGATGACGACTTACAATATCTCATAGCACACGTCGTATAAACCATTTTAATTATAAGTATCAACACTACATTTAAACATTATAAAAGCAAACGCGCGTTAACCCTGGAAGTCGTAGCCCGAGCTACTAATACGATTGGTATGGGCAGCTCGGGCTCGTCCTTCCCGCGTCTCACCCCTCGCACCCCGCACGATTGCCCTGTCTAGACGTCTTCGTCGGACAACTGTATGGATTTATAGACTGTGATCATATCGTGTCTTTTATTTTGTACGTTCGGTTGCACAATTTATGTGGGCGTCTGTCTGTGAGACACATGCTCTATTCGACCAATGAGCGGATAAGAGGGGAGGAGTGCGGGGTGTGTCTTGAGTGTGATTTATCATTTATTTTACAATCATACTTTTGTCACACAATTTATCGACATACAACAATTCTTTATAGGCATACAGACAATAATTAATAAGTATGTAACAAACACTATAAAGACATACAACAATTCTTCAAATTTAAGGCAATAAAACATTAATAAGCTTACGCACTAGACAATAGAAAACTAAGATTGTATTAAAAGGTATTTACATTAATAATGTCTTAAATATAGGCTGTTATTTACAACGTTAGTACTTTTATTTATTCTGTGCCTGTATTTCGTTATCCATTTGTATCTATGTCTTCGCATATTTGTCCGTAAAGACTTTCTTTGTAGAAACAGTTAAAGTTCCAGCGCGTCTTGGTAGGAGGAATGGGGGAGTTGATCTCTACCAAAGAGATGCGGCTAGTGCTACGCACTAGATTTCGAATTCCGAACATTGACTATGTTTAACTGAACTGTACTGCGATCCGTACACTAAACTAAATATTGCGTAAATTCAAGATTTGTGAATTCCATAAGATAATTATTATTACATTTTATTTAGAAATACGTTCGCTTAGATTAAAATAAGAGTATTTTATATTAAATTCTTATATTTATTTTATATTAATTTCTTTTTCTATATTAAACTAAAGTCTTCTCCCGCGCATGCGCGAATAGTACAGAGTAGCGCACAATTTTTGTTTGGAATAGCTTCTCTAGTATGTAGGACATATAGCTCAATGGCTAATACATTCTCGTGGCACAGGTGATAGGGTTATACCTATAAGGTGCAAGTATAACCCACGCTTACCCATACGAAGCGGATATGCGTAGGCAATGAAAAAAGTGTGTCTTTAAACGTAGTGATTATATATTTTTTTTAAACGTTACCCCCACACTAGGATTTTCTCCTGTATCGTGGAGGCAGTTTACAATCACAAATTGGACAAGGACAAACATCCAGACCCGGAACAATTATTTGTAGGCCATACAAATACTTGTTCCGTGCGGGATTTGAACCCGCGGCCCCCAGCGCAGCAACTCATTGCTAAGCCACTGCGCCACGGAGCCGTCAGTATATATTCTCTTTGGTGTGTCTCCTTCTATCATTTCACTGTATTTTTATTGATAAAAGCATCGTTAAGAGGTTAACCTTTTAATAGTGGTTTTTGTTATATAACTATACGCGAGCAACCCGCATTCGATCCCCGCCGGCACCAATGAAATTGTTAATTGCAATTTTAAGTGCTGATTTACCACGTGCTTGGCGGTGAAGGAAAACATCGTGAGGAAACCTGCATTTCTAAGAAATAGCAAAAAAAATAGCAAAAAGGCATGTGAAGTTCGCCAACACGCATTGGGGCAGCGTGCCGAACATTTCTTGCCCTAAAACCCTCTCAGAAATGAGAGGAGACCTGTGCCCAGCAGTGGGATCTTATAATAGGCTGTAACTTTAACTTTAACTTTTGTTATATAATCATATGGTTTTTAGAACGTCTGTTTTTCAATTTGCAGTACCATCGCCAAATTTTGCAACTCTCTACGAAATAATTCGAATATCAATGCAAACTTCACTTGTGGTTAACATACAGAAATTGTTACTAGACGAATGTGAAGGATACTTGGCAGAGTGTATTCGGATGTATACAGATAACAGAAAATACGACGTGGCTCTTAAAATTTCCAAGCTCGCAGGGTTGCCAGTCAACGATATCTTAAAAGCCGAATGGGGTCATAAACACGAAATGTTGTTTTCGAGAGAGTTCGAAGTGGAGGACAAGGACTTGACTCTTTTCATAGCAGAGAGTAGTGAAGCTTTTAAAAAAGCAGCAGTTTCTTTTAATGCGGCAACAGAATTTCTCATACAACATGCCAGCGCCATAACGGATCCCATTCAGAAATTTTACGCCTACAGAATAATTATGAGTTGGTTTGAAGAAAACCTGGAATATGGAGGGAAACGTGAGGAGATAGAGCACCTTATGTGGCATTCATATTTCCAAATTGAAAATCAAGATAACGTCTTTCTCAATAGTTACCAAAGCATTCTGTATTTTGTACTCACTGGGCAAAAAGATCGCACCCTGTCCAAAAAGATAGGATCTATGAACACTGACAAGCCATTTTCAGCGACGCTACACGAGATCGAAGTGGAATCGGACTTGGGAAACATCGAGAACGTAGTTACGTTGGAGGAACCGGACGCGATAGATAATTGGAGGAGGGTCGTTAATCAACTGTTAGAACTAAAACTGCTGGTTGAAGCGTTTCGATTGTCCGCTTTATTTAAAACCCCCCCAGAATACCGGTACAGGACTCCTACTTGTCCAGTACATATTATAAGGACCTGTCTCAGACTGGCGGAAGGCACTTGCTCTCCGTATGAGCTACCGCAGGAGCTTCGCTTAGTGATATCCTCACCGTCATTACAAAATAAACTTACAGGTGAGTCGAAAATACGTTTATGCAACTCTTGTGTTTATGTCGTGAGTGAGTGAGTGAGTGAAGGAGATTTAATGAGAGTGAGTAGCGTGACTTAGACAAGTCGACAGCAAACTCCAACTTCCTCACTTGGTGTTCGAGGTGGCAAAACTCGTAATCCACCAAAAATATGTTATGTAAATATATCGTGTGTGAAAATCACATTAAATTATTCAAAATTGTTTTGAGAACTTAATATTAACGATATATTTAGATTTTTGATTTGAGATATAAATAAAGTTTCGAACGTAAATGTGTTGGTTTGCAACTACACAAAAAAGTCCTCTCACACGTTATCTTCTATTTCTTAAAAATTTAATGCAAAACCGATTTTGAGCCATCCGTGATTAATAAGTGTAACAATCTGCTTACAATTAAGTTCTTGCCAAAACTCGAATCATATTTTAACGAACTGAATACACATGTGTATGGTCATATTATTCTAACAAGAAAAATTCTTTATTTGGTACATAAAAGCCTCATAAAATAGTTTGTTATATATCTTTCGTTATAACGAATGCCGCGTTTCAGTCTCGGAGACCTCGGAGACGAGTTTTGAGGAGCTGGTAGTTATCCAGGAACGGCAGGACATAGCGTCTGTGGGTGTGCCTCAGCTGGCCGCTCGCGAGGAGGCCGACAGACTCGCTGTTTTAGATGCACTTGCAATTCGAAGTGGCCTCTCACTCGCTAAACAGGTTATTTTACTATCTTTAAAGTTAAAAAAAATAACAGGTACAAGAGAATAACGTAGTAAATTAGAAACATTTTTTTCTCCACGCCAAATGCCGTTATATTAAATAAAGCAACAAATATTTATTTATACTCTGTCAAATTTAGCTTGATAATTTTGATAGCTCACGCCTATGAAGTTTCGTATTTTTTTAGATAAACTGTCATGGGAGGGAAACTGAATCCTTGGTATTATCACATACTTTAATTAAACTCGAAAGCTTTAATTTTCCACTCAATACGTCATTGGCTAATAATTTACCAAACCGCCACAAAAAGAAAAAGAAGTAAACTGTCATACAGAAATTGTTGTACTCATAAACTTAGAATATACTGGCGTAATGACGACCTGACAGCCCGAAAACGTGTGACTTGATCTTGACTAATTTTGATTTTTAATTGTGTGCGTTAGCTAGTGATGTACATTTTACTTACAAGGACTATCGAAAAATTATTGTTAAGAAAGCAGTAAAAAGATTAAAAAAATAGTTTAGTGAAATTGAATAACTTTAAAAATTAACCGAATTCTTACCATGATAGTTCTAAAATAATTGAAAAGTATTCATAAAACATGTTCCTGGGAATAAGCTGAACCTACCTGACTTTTGTTGAATTTTAATTCAAATGTAAAAAATCCCAAGTGACTCTACCGATAAACTTAAAAACTTCTCAAGAATCAAATCGGAAAGAAAAATATTTACTGCCATGGACAGTTTTATAAATAGGTATATATTTATCTAAGTATATGCCTATTTATATTTTATATATTTTATAAAATGTTTTGATGGGAAAATAAAATACGGAGCACATAATGGCTGTTTTATATTTCATATAAGTATTACTTTTGATAATTACAAACATTTAATAATTAAATACATTATAGAAGTTTATTTTAACATTCGACTTAAATATAAATGTAAAATTAATAATTTAAGTAAGGAAACTTGTAGGAATCAGTAAAATAAGATTGCTCTGTTTAAAGGCCAATATGTTTATGAGGATTCATTATGCTTCATGTTTATATTCTTTCATCTGTCCCTGAAGTGCAACTTAATCTCGTAGATCTATTGATTCACGCAGCTATTACTTAACCACGAGTTCCTCTTCTCTACGACTAACGCTGTAGACGACGAACCACGAATTTATACTATCCTGTCATATTGAACCACGCGTCTCATGAGCGTCTGTCTAGTGGCGCTTTAAGAGCATTACTGAATATATTATATCTAACTACGCTAAGTTTTGTCATTATGACTTCGGAATATAATCCGAAGCTCCGCGCAACCCCTTTTGGAAAATAGCGTGATGCTATGAATATACACTAGTGTGACCGTGAGGTGCGGATGGTGCAGTAAGGTTATAAATTTTTTTGGCTGATAAATAGTTACTTAGTTGGGTTCATAATGGCTGAAATAGGATAATCTCAAGATTTTTTTTATCTATAATGTACTACAGTTTTATAATGTATAAAAATCTGTTTCTATTTTTATCTAAAGTTTTAAAAGTTAAATTTTAAGTCATATTGTTATAACAATATTAAACTTAAAAAACGCCAGGTCAAGACTACCCTAAACCGTAGAGCATGTATGAAGGGAATAATGAAAGTGGACGAAGCAAAACAAGTATGTAAGGATCGTAGCAAGTGGAAAGAAGTGGTTTCTGCCTACCCCTACGGGAAAGAGGGGTGATTATATGTATGTATGTATGTATGTACAAATAATGTAGAAATGACTACTTTTAATAAAATTGTTTTTATTCTACTTTTTCTTTTATACTTCTCACGTAAATGTTTGCTGCAAATTGTTGAGTTTGTCTTTGGATTCCAACCAACCCGTCCAATTAACCTTAACCATTTTCTCTAAATATAGAATCCGGAGGGAATCTGTTTGACAAACGGCAAAATAAAATCCAATTTATAAAATGCAAACCGAGGATTTATTTTCTTGTTGTGTGGGCAAGTCTATCGATTAAATATAAACATTCGACATTAATTTTGATATAGTTGAGTCAATCCCTCCCTAGCGTACATGTCAAATATTTTGTATAAAAATGTATTTACCTAATTCATGTAAATTATCAACAACGTGACTTTTTTCTTTGCAATTATCAAATTAACAAAATAATTGAAAACATTCTATATTTTAAACAGTATATAATATAAATTTTAATCAAAAATAAATGCGTCATAACATTGATGACTTCTTGAGAATTTACCTGTGAAATGTGCAATTATCAGGATTATTTCTATTATTAAGACCACAGTTACTCACATAACAAGTAACCATTTTGGAAAAAAGTTATATATAATAAAAATAACCGCTATTGCACTCTAAAAAAATTACAAAATATCTAGGATTTCTTGCGTGCCGACTTGTGCCGATTTGTCATACAAAATCGGTTACAGTCATGAGATTTGGTATCCGTTTCTATCTTGCATTTTTGCCATAAGAATTTTTTTCTCCTTTGCACACTATATCCGTCTATACACCAGTATATTCTAAGCCTATGCCGCCCACTTACGATAGTGATGTGCCAAAACGAACAACCGCAGACTATCAAAAATCGGATTTCAAATAAATGGAGTATATAAAATAAAAATCACGTAAATATGTGTGTTGGAATTGGCTCCTTATTGGCACAATATATTCTATTAACGGCACTGATTGCGTGTCAGTCCTATTTGTCAGCTGTTATTCTGAAAAAAAAAAAAATATGGAAATCAAAAATAGTATCTATTGACTACAAGATTGTGGCAACGCTACTGAACAACATGGCCATATGGTGGTTAAATTGCCACCATATCATTGTCATTATAATGCAATTGAATGGATATGGTCTCATGTCAAAGGTTTGTTTTTTTTTGTCACTATACCTAGTACCTACGTTTACTACATATATAGATACTTAATTTTTTTTTTAATTTATTTTTAGGTCACACAGCCAAACAATACATCTTCACCATTTACGGCTAAGAAAATGCTGACTTTATTGCAAAATGCCTGTGATAACATAATGCGGATGACTGGAGAAAAGTCGTGGAACACACATAAAATATATACTAGAAGACTGGGAGCGAGATGTCCACTTTGGCAGAGTTTGTGAACAAGAATTAATAATCAACGTAAGGGACAGTTCCAGCAGTGAGCCTAGTGATGATGATGATGATACTGAAATAAATAGATAATGTACTTAATTTAGGTTGTGCACCATTATTTTAATAATTAATAACTTTAAGCTACAATTCCTTGTTTTATTTCATATTAAGCCCTTTCACAAAAATTATTTAGAATCGCATGTATTTTAGGCTGACTGACCGAATAAAAATATGCACGAGGCGAAATTGTTATTGTGGGAGGGATTTTATTATCGTATTAATAATTTATTATTAATTCAATAGATAAGAAATTGTTCAAAATTCCAAATCCATACAACATAAACATGCAACTATCGATTAGAAGTTCTATAAGAATAATAATTGATTAGATTTATTAACGATTATACACCACCCCATCCCTGCATTGAGCTATCAAAATGATCAAGTTAAAATTTGACAAACTATAGTTATTGTTTTCGATATATTATCAAAAACATTATGTAATTTTCTTAATGTATTTATCATCGATCACTAATAAAAAACTAGATACACAAACCCATGTAAAAATTCTCTAAAAACTGTCGCCAATTGTTTTGACGTAATTCTAGTTGAAATAAATATACATTAATGTAAATTCAACCTTAAATGCATTGCCTAAAGTTGTATTCACAAAGCCACGTACAAATTAAAAGTGCACCCAAATGTTCGTGTGGGCGCTCATTCGGTAAGGACATTTTTTGTCACTGATTGTGTATCTAGTTTTTTATTAGTGTTCGATGTGTATTATCAATCATAATGTAGATCAATGCGTGAAAATGAAACATTGTATACTATTTTCGATTTATTTAAACTTGTTACCATGTCAAAATGTCAAATTTTTTACATTCTATTGACAGATTGGAAGCTACTTCCGCATCGCACTTCAAATTGGCTGGGATTACATCTCTGTGCTGAAATATCAAAATCGCCCAGTAGATTTTATTAATTTAGTTAGCGGGAGAGCTCGCATGTCTTTGGCCAATCTTGTTTTTCGCACGTTCAATGTTCCATCGAAACAGGTGTGTTAAAATTATTACACATATTTAAACTTATGTTTTTATTTTTGTCTGTTACATTAAACACGTCACCAAATTTCCTCAGAGATGGACCAAAAACTTTATCCAAAACAAAATCCGTTTAAGATTGTTTTTCCATCCATCACTTTGGAGCAAGATGGTTTTGAGTTACGATTTACGACTTTATCATATAAAATTTTAGATACATTAAAATAATAATAAGAAGAAAAGAAGGCGGTCCTCAATACCGTCCCCATCATTTGCCGGTTTCTTTCCCTTTCCCGCTGACCCTCGGCCGTTTGGTCTGTTCACCAGATCGAATTTCGGTCACAGCGGTCAGTCTCAACAGAGACAAGCCATCAAGTGTAAAATAGTGCCTGAGTGTGTGCGCAAGCATAGGTGCACTCTCTAATCCCTTACTCTCATAGTCCAATGCGATAACAAACTAACATTACCGTGTACTTAACGTGTCTCATGAAGATTTAATCGAAAAAAATATTTCTAGGTCGCCGAGTACCTTTGCCTAGAGATGGTGGCAGCAATAATTTCACCACATCTTGTGAAGACATCAACATTCAGACAAAAAGAACATTTTCAGTACACTCTTTGGGGTTATGTTCTCAATTCAGACATTGAAATGTTTTTAAATATGAGGCCGGATGCCTGTAGTCATATTGGAAGACTTATTCTTGACCATTTAATGGCATTCCAAAAGATATATAAAGCTACTAGTGCGTTCAAAATACCAGAGAATGTTCTAGACGACAGTTGTTTGGATGTGGAAACTTTAATAGATGAGGAGTACCAAAACGTTGAAAATGACGAAGTAGAATCAGTTTTGACCGAAGAAGGCACGCTTTTGTCCGCTGAGACAGAATCCGTGTACTCCGTGTCAACTGTATACACAATTGGCAATAAGCTGTCGAAGGACACCAGGCGGAACTTATTCGACGCGATATCGAGAAGCAACGTCCACATACGCTACGAAGTAAAATCGAATGTGAGGAGGATAACGAAGGGCGCCAAGTTGTCTACGAAACAGGTATTTACAAGACTTCATTGTTATCAGCATCCACTGTCGATTGCTGGACTTGGCCTCTAGCCAAGCATTTGGCATCGATACATGCGAGACTAGATAAAGTTCACCATCTCTTTCTTTTAAAACAAGATATTTTAAGCTTGAAATGTTTACAGCCGTTTTTAATCACTGATTATTATTATTTTTGTATGGAATTTTAAAAAAATACTTATCTTCACACGTGTATCGCTTAGGACTGCCACCGCGGAGCTTTTCACTTTCAGCCTTATGAGTCCACTGCTGGCTAAAGCCTACCCAAGAACGCGTCAAATGACGTACTCACATCATATTGCACATACCAGTCTCCGTTCGGTCTAATTGGGATAGTTTTATCGCCAACTGTCGATTGCTAAGGCATGCAAGCATTGAGTTATATGTACTACGTACTAGAGAAGCCATTCCGAACATTGATTATGTTCAACTGAACTGTAGTGCAATCCATACAAACTAAATATTGCGTAAATTGAGGATTTGTGAATTCCATAAAATAATTATTATTACATTTTATTTAGAAATATGTTTGTTTAGATTAAATTAAGATATTTTATATTAAATTCTTATATTTATTTTATATTAATATCTTATTTTATATTAAATTAAAGTCTTACATAGAGTAGGACACAATTTTTGTTTGGAATGGCTTCTCTAGTACGTAGTACATATAACTCAATGCATGCAAGTGACCATTTAAATAAAAGTTAAAACTTTCCCTGAAAACTTTCGTGATCGTAGTGTTACATCAACTAGGATAAGTGGTCATGATAATTAAGAAGTTTTCTTCAATAACGGCGACAACATCCGTACGGTGATAGAAGTAGACAAATACGCAAAAATATATTGTATTGTCACAACCAAGCAAAAACACCTCGACTCACATCATGAATTAGATAAACTAGTCTCTCCAGACTTCAAATCAGTCACATTTATTACGAAAGTGTCTATTTTATTAAAGTCAAAGAAATAAGAAAATGTTAATAATAAAAGAGTAACTTTTATCATTACTGTTATTTATTAGTTTTGGTTTCTCATAGAATTATTACGCATAGAAACGCAGTCCAGTACAAAACACGAGCGTTAAAATGATGCAAAGTCATAATGTTAGTGGGTGCGAGTCGAATGTGCCTACGCTCGTCACACGCACACATACACGCCATTCAGTGATACCAGTGTCTGGCGTTTGCAATCAAATTGTGCAAATCACTAATTTTTGATTAATTTTAAAAAATCGATATAATAAAGATTACGTATTACGTACGAAGATATATTTTATGAGAATATAAAATGGAATAAAATAAACACGATAATGATGGTACTAATATAACTTAATTATACATATTTTAATGGTACAAAAATACAGACGTAATAAAATTTAAGAATATTATTAAACACAATTAATTTGCTCGAATACAATAAGCACATCGTGTAATATAAATTTTAACCGACTTCAAAACAGGAGGAGGTTTTCAAATTCGGTGTATTTTTTTAAAATGTTTTTTACCTCAGCATTCTACAATTTCTAAACCGATTTAGATTTTTTTATTTGAAAGGATATACACACAGATTGATCCAATATACACGCTGAAATGGTTGTTTTCCCGATATCAAATTATTTTGTCTTGGTAGTAATTATTTTATTAAAATTAGGATGCAAAAATGGCAGATTTACAATCGAGAAAACAAAACTCGAATGCGATCTCAAAACAATAGCAATATCTCGCAAGTAGGTCGGGCGTGCAGGCTAGCTTATACCGTATTATTATAATAGTCTGAAAAAAAATTCGCTGGGTGTAACTTAGTGTTACGGCTATCGCACGCGCTACCGCGCGCTGCCTACACAGTGAATAAATGTTCAGAACATGAACTCTCAAGCGTAGTGATACGACATAAACTAGTAAATATAGAAATGTCTTAGAAATCAGTGTACATACATATTGATAACCTCTCCTTTTTGGGAGTCGGTTAAAATAGACTATGTTTGGGTCTAAAATAACATCTGTTTAATGTTTGGGTGTAAAGTGACATCTGGTTAGTTAAGGCGTTCTTATTAATAATATCTTGATGTTGTAAATAGAAAAGTTTTTATTTTATACTCTAAAACGTAGACTTAGTCAATAAACAAAGCAATTTAAATAGTTGCGTTAAAATGGCGTCGGCGAATCGCGATTAGCTGATCACTCCGTATTAGTTTTAATTAGGCACCCATTGTTAATATTATGTTAATACTTAGAGAAGTCATCATCATCATCATCATTACAGCCCTTCACAAGTCCACTGCTGAACATAGGCCTCCCCCAAAGAATGCCACAAAGCACGGTCCTGAGCCACCTGCATCCATCGACTTCCTGCATATCTTACCAGGTCGTCACTCCATCTAGTGGGGGGACGCCCTACACTTCGCCTGCCGGTACGAGGCTGCCACTCGAGAACCTTTCTTCCCCATCGGTTGTCGGTTCTTCGAGCTATATGGCCGGCCCATTGCCACTTCAGCTTACTTAGAGAAGTAGGTATCTATATATAAACATTTGAGTTTTACAGAGAGCTTTGCGATTAAACGTTTTAAACACAAATAGAAAATAAATATTTTTAAAAGAAAATTGTGATTTTTCCCCACAACTAGCAACATTTGTATTAGGATAGCTTAGGTAAGTATTTTTTTAGTTTTATGTAGTTATAATGAATTAAATATATAAACTTGTATGTGAAATGCAGTACCATCACTTCTTTTATGTTTATCATCACTGTTGTGACAATCTTTTACAACAAAAACGGTCATTTTTACAATTTTTCGCGAGCTCTTCTCCGTAAGACGTGACGTTGCGCACTGACGCGTCGCTGAGTCAACTAACGCGGTTTCGCGTTAGTTTAACTTGCTTCACTTTCGGTGCGCGTACTAGTATTCTATGCGTAATAATTCTATGTGGTTTCTATAACAAACCAAAGTTACTACATGATAATTATTTTATTGGAATATCATGTTAGGCCCGTATTAATAAACGTAACTCAGCTCAAGTAGATGCACTTGAGTACAATATTGAGGTTATGATCTTATTAATAAACATATCTCAAGATGTGGCTTAGGTTTACGATACTAGCTGAATGACGCACTGATTAATAAACGAAACTTGCCTCTCAAATTTGTGTACTTGAGATACTAAAATCTGAGTGCGGGCAGTCCGTGACTTGTCCGGGTCAGTGCGGGTGACACGCCAGGCGTGCCATCGATTACTATTGTGCGAGTCGTGTCTTTTTAAAAATCGTTATAACTCGCTCAAATTGCTTTTTTGGAAAATTTATCCAGAACAAAATATTCATTATTTTGCGAGTAGTTCATGCATGCAGCTTCGTTTCTGGATATTTTGAAAATTTGAAATTTTTAGGGGTTGACAACCTTTTTTTAACGTGTACTTGGTACTATTTTTACTCTGTGGGTTTTAAATCATGTTATGGAGAAATTGTCTAATAAGTAACAAATAATAGCACTCATTGCGATCGCTCACAAACTCAAGTTGTAAATAAATTTCTGGAAAACAAGTCACCTGTTAAAAAAAAAACAATGCGTTTGTCTTATTGTTTAATTTTGCTTAAAATGATATACCTTTTTTTTTTCAAATTAAGGTTCTTCATTGTTTGATATTTACAAATGTTATATAGGTATTATATATTAGGTGAAAATTTAATTTAATAAAAACCAAGGTTTCCAGGGTGATTTAGCTGTACCTACTTATATAAATGATTTTTTTATAACAACAAAAAATAGTACAAAAGGTTTGTAATCTCTTCATAAAAAAGTTACTTTCTCTCATTTTCAAAGAAAACGCGTAAAAAAACACGTAGTTATCCACTAAAAACAAGTATCCTTCCATTTGTAACTTATGTTTGATGTCAAATAAACTTAATTAGGTCTAAACAAGTAAAAAAAAGCATAAAAAAGAACATTACTTTTACACATGGTGGATGGCACAATAGGCGTGTCATTTTTGTCTGTGGCGCTTAACACGCCCGGCGTGTCATGAAATACGAGGGTGGATTGAAAAGTACTCGGTCTAACACAGATCCATTCAATTCTAAAAATCAAATCTACCCACATTATTTAGTTCAGTTCAGACTAGTTCATTATGTGAAATTCGAAACGTGTGCGATAATTAGTTGTGATTTTATAAATTTATTAACAAAGTAATCGGACATAATTTCCGCGAATGGAGCAAATCGAGCAGCGTGCCGTCATTAAGTACCTCCATAAGAAGGGGCTATCATCAAAAGCCATCCATGATGACATGGTCAGTACATTAGGCGATTGTGCTCTGTCATATTCATCCGTCAAAAAATGGATAGCAGAATTTAAGCGTGGTAGAGAGAGTGTGAAAGATGAACCCCGCTCTGGAAGGCCTTCGACGTCAACTACTGACGAAAATATTAAAAAAGTACTTGATTTAATAATGGGAGACCGCAGATTAAACATTAGAGAGATAGCCGAGATTATAGGCATCTCTTATGAACGAACTCAAAACATCATTGTCAACGAGTTGGGTTTCCACAAGATGTCTGCGAGGTGGGTTCCGCGACTGCTTTCAGTTGAACAAAAAAGGACGCGATTGACTATTTCACGTGACTGTTTGGAGTTATTTGAAGCCGATGCAGATGATTTTTTGAATCGTTTTGTTACTATGGACGAAACATGGGTTCATTACTGTACACCGGAAACAAAACAACAATCAAAACAGTGGAGAAGACCTGGTTCACCACCCCCTAAAAAGGCTACGTCGATTTTGTCGGCAAATAAGGTGATGGCTTCAGTATTCTGGGACTCGAAAGGTGTGATTATGATTGATTATCTTGAAAGGGGTCAGAATATAAACTCTGATTACTACTGCACCTTACTACGTCGTTTACGAGAGGAAATAAAAGAAAAACGTCGAGGAATGCTCGGAAGAAAAGTCCTGTTTCATCAAGATAACGCCCGTGTT